AAAGAGAAGTAATTATGTACATTGTTATTTTTTTTAATGCAGCTTATAATTTTTTTTCACAAAACATTCTTCTATACGTTTATTTTTTTGTCTTGTAAATATTTTTTTTGACACATTAAAACAAATTGTTCTATACATTACTGAAAGTACTTTTTTACAACTATTTACAACATAGCTTAGGTTTAACATCAGAAAAAAACAAAAATGAGCAATTCTGGCTCCACCTATCCTGGCAGGATTGTCCTCTCGTCAGCTCTCCTCTCGCACCGTTGCTATGCGACAAAGCAATAATCAGGAACACCTGGTGGCGCAATTAGGAAATCCTGCGAAGGCGGAGCATCTCACGCACTTCGGAGGGTCCTTTGTGCACTTCGGAGGCCTAGCCTAGTCCGTGGCCTTCGAAGTGTGCGCACTTAACTTTGGGACACAGCTGTGGTATTGAAGGTGGAGAGAGCGCTGGTTATTCACTCCCCCCCACCTACAATCCCTGCTGGACCTGAGACTCAAACCCGCAACCTACGGGTTACAAGTCCGACTCTCTATCCATTAGGCCACACTGCCTCCTGCCCCTTTTATTACATCACAAAACCCATGGTGACCCTGCTGACAAAAACGATAGAAACTATCACAGAAATTCGAATGATTTCCACTTCAAATACCATTACAAACATTACAAACTATCAACTTTAACCATTAAATAATTGTTTCCTGTAGTGTGTTTTGGGACATATTTCATTACCAGTGAACATTACAAATTATGTGATGGTTTCTATTGTTTTTTTCAGCAGGGGACTGAAATAAATGCCTTATTGTATGAACTACAATACTTGAAATCTACATAAAAAGAGCAGAACGCAAAATCTATAATATGACAATGATAAAGAATCTATAAACCTGAAACAGAATTCTTCAATTTGAGTATTCATATGTCTGTCTGTCTGTGTGTGTGTGTGTTTTGAGAAAGTAAAAATGCAGAAAGTTTCCTGTGAGGGGTAGGTTTAGGTGTAGGGTTCGTGTAGGGTGATAGAAAATACGGTTTGTACAGTAGAAAAACCATTACGCCTATTGATAGTTTTCATGTGACGTCACTCCCGTAAAGGAACGCCCACCTGGAGGGCAGAACAAGCCTTTTCTCCACTGACCGCCATTCATTTGTACCAGGTTTGAAATACTGCTGCAGGTGCTGTAAATGGATCGCAAGTGCCTATAATTTGCGTTTACTCACATATCTTTGTTTTGTTTTTTTGAGAAATTATCTAAATATTCGTGGTTTGACTGCAGTTCTATGGCTGTTTTGCCCTCCAGGCTCCGCGGTAGTCACGTGACTCAGTGTCTGTGTGTCATGTTAATCAGACTAATCACTTTAGAGGCTACTTCATTTACTCTATTTTCTAACTCAATATCTCTCAAATGTAACCCATTGTAGAAATGTTATTCTTTTTATGAATGAATGGAATATTCATGTCAGACAATGCGGAGTAATAAATAGCAGTGAACATTCGTACTAGGGGTGTCCTGGGATTTTACTCTAGTGCTATAGGCCACATGCTCTATAGTGAGAGATGCGAGCAAATGTAACCTGATGTAACTGTTCCCTTTTTGTTTTTCTCCCAAACGTTTTTATCTTCAAGTTTTTTGCTTGCCATCACGAGCCCACTCTCCTTTGCGTCAGTTTTGGTTAATTTATTTAAAAAGAAATACATTCTGTGTGATTTATGATCATTCTGTATGATTCTTTCCTTATGGAGACCAAAGTGCCTCAACAAGGTCCCCATAACGTGGGGAATACTAGGAACACACACACACACACGCACACACACACACTGACACATGTTGGGTTTCCATGTTTTGTGGGTTTATTCCACAGGCGTAATGGTTGTTCTACTGTACAAACTGCATTTTCTATCCCCTTGCCCTAACCCTACACCTAAACCTACCTCTCACACAAAACTAGGCACTTTCAGATTCTCAAAACATTCTAAGCTTGTTTCCTCACGGGGACCAAAAAATGTCCTCACAAAGTCAACAGGGGAGCGTGGGGCACAAAGTAACACAGGGTTAGTTGTAACACACGTGGTTTGAATATTTCCACACATGCTAGCATAACAAAATGTATGGTATTTACTAGTTGCCATATCAACACTATATAGAGAAAAAAGTACGTCAAAATTCTAAAATCTTTTGAAGATATCCCTGAATATTTATTTTACCATAGTAAAGTTACATTTATGGCTTAAGTAAATTTTTGATCTCAGTTTTTAGTATTCATTTAAAATGAGGCAAATCTGCTATTATTTTCAGTCTAGATAGTTTTTTAATGCTTCGCTAACTAGCAGAAGACACTGACCAATTTTAAATTCCAGTTGCGCAGGATTGACAAAATATTTTAGTTTGTCTTGTATATTTTTTTTCATTAGATAAGATAATATTTTAAGCTGTCATATGATCATGTTACAACGTGCCCCTCAGATGTTACAATGTACCCCACTTACAGGGCAAGTTGTCACATCTCACTTCCATTTTTTTAGGGTAAATAAAGAAAAATGTATACACTGTAATTATGAAACAAAGCAATGTATCTGTACTAGACAAGTGTAAAATTACTGTGGACAAAAAAAAAAGAACTGTGTTTACGTGAATACTCGTCAAAACAGACAATTCGACATCATTTTGTGTGTATTTCTCTGTTCATGCGACGCGAAAGAGTACTTATGTGCTGTGTGAGAGGCACTTTCTGTGTGTGTACGCTTCGGTGTGAACGCTCAGAAAAACGGACCGAATTGAGTTCTCTCTTGCATCCTCAAATTTATCCATATGTCTGCTCTTTTTTTACTCCCACATATTGACATTTATTTTTTTACGTTTTATGAGATGTGCAGCAAGTGTATTTTAGCATTATGTCCCACCGGTTCATATATACACATCTAGCCTCCTAACTACGCAGTAGAACAGTAGATTTTCGTCATAGTTTTTGTCATTCAAGAAGAGTTCTAGTTCGTTATCGTCTCGTTGTCAGTGAAATAAATATCGTTGACGAAAATTATTCGTCAACAAAATTAACACTACTCTCACACACACACAGAAACTCACACTCCCTCCCTCTCTCATTCGCTCTCTCTCTCACACACACACACAACTTTTAGTGCATTTGTTTAATGTCATTCTAAACAATCTTTCTTACATTAAGCATGGGGGAGAGATTAATTTAAAAAAATACAAGACTATTTTCCTTCAATGACATGAAATTTCATGTAGAATAATATGGGCTATAACAGCTGGAAATTTCATGTCACTTACACGATTTACCACAAATTATTAACAAGACGTAACTTTAACAGTTAACAATTAAATGTGTGTTAAACAATTAAATGCACGATAATAAAAACAGCAGCTTATGACACCGGGAGACTAAAGAAAACTGATTCATCATGCAGCTCAAAGCATTATGGGTAGAATCTCTCGTCAGTCTATTCTGATTCATCAACACAGTTTCACTGACGATCCAGGACCAACAATAAACCCAGGATAGAGCGTCTGAGTGAATGTGGTCTGGACTGTTTGGATGAGGCTCATTGTGTCAGAGACGCCGTAGAAGGACAGAGTTCCTGCTCTATTCTATAGTTATCATCAAACACTCCTAGTCTACTGCTGATGGACTTTACAGAAAGATCAGTCTCTATGTTGTTGTGTCTGAATAAGTATCTAGAGGGAGAGCAGAACAAACTCCAGGACTGATCATTATATCTAAACACACACTGATTAAACCGTCCCTTCCTGCTGATGCTCCCAGTAACATCGTCCACACACACTCTCTCTACACAACACCTGATAATAACCATCAAATCTGTCAGGGTCTAGGATAGATAGAGGACTCCGATGCAGAGTTGTGAGAAAGGAGATTCTTTTTTCTCGCCACAAAACACAAAATAACAAACAATAGTTAACTGCTGCTCAGGTCAGCGGAGATTCCAGAGCTGGCCGGCAGACACTGCGGGCCACTCGAGCTGCTGGATCTCCGTACTACGAGTCCTTAAGCACAGGAGAACAGAGGGTCAGACACTGATGCTTGCACTCATACACAAAACACGAGCAAGGACAAAACAATCTACACACGACGAAGGACAGAAGGCAGAGACATATAAGGGAGTGGGGGAATAAGCGACAGGTGGAAGGAGATTCAGCTCGTGATCCGAGCACTTCCGCTGCGAGATCAGTGCTTATTGCTCAAGCCACGAGCTATCGAACATATCAGGACAACACAGTTCGCAGGGTAAGCCGAGAAGGCACCCTGCACTGTGACAAATGTCTGGAGGACCAGGATACGACTGAACTGTGTCAGTGTAAGTAATCACTCTGTTGCTCTCTGATAGGCATTTAAGTGCTGTGTTCAGATCCGGAGAGAACTGAAGGGAATCTGATGGAGATAAAACACATCAGAATCAGGAATTATGAATCTGTTTGATCTTTTCATGGAGCTGAACTCTTCATGTTCAGTGTATCATCAGTGTCTCAGTACAGATGAGCAGATATCTCTGCAAATCATCATTTACATCATCAATTATAAACTCTTCTTACACCTTCTACAGAAGAACATGAACACACTCAGTGAGTTTTCTGCCGGCTACATGAACTGTTTCTCTGTGAGTCTCTGTAAAAGCAGGATCTGCTCAAGTCCACTATGATCCTGTTCTTCTAGATCTCTGTTACCTGCAGGAACTGGATGTGATCCTGTGTGTGTATCCAGTAAAAGTGCAGCTGATAAACAATGACTGTAGGTTCAAACTGTGAATCAGTTACAATACATGAATCATACATGAATTAACATGAAGATTAAGCCTTGTTTCACACTGCATGTGTAAGTATTATAAAAGTGAAACTGACACAGACATAGTTTCACACTGATAGTGTTTATGTGTAATTAAGATGTGACTCTACACAGAAAATAAAAAGACTACTGGATCACTGCACTGAGTATTAACTTGATGATTAATTTTAAATACCTGTTTCTCTGTCCTCTGGTCTGCAGCTGGTACAATGTCATGGTTTTTATGTTCAATAATCGTACACAGCATGCATATACATTTCTGGTCAGTGCGACAGAAAACCTCCAGGAGCTTCTCATGTTTCTGGCAGATCATCTCCTGCAGTCGTCCTGTGGCATCAGTCACTTTGTGTCTCTTTCCTTTAAACCAGCTCTCATGTTGTTCGAGGTGATTCAGACAGTAAGAGTTCAGACACACTAGACAGGACTTGACGGCTTTGTATTTTCTTCCAGTACAGACGTCACACTGCACATCTCCAGCTCCAGCGTCACAGTCAGCAGAGAGTTTGGTCTTCTTCAGTTTCTCCACCACTTTAGCCAGCATGGTGTTTCTAGCTAAAGCAGGTCTTGAACTGAAGGTCTGTCTGCACTGAGGGCAGCTGTAGACTCTCTTCTGATCCTCCTGATCCCAGCAGCCTGTAATACAGATCTTACAGTAACTGTGTCCACAGGGAATGGCCACTGGATCCTTCAGGAGATCCAGACACACTGCACACATAAACTCATTCTGATCCACTGAAATTCTGGTTTCTGCCATTTTACAGCTCGAATACAGAGACAAAAACACACAACAGCTCAACTACACTTCAGTTTCTCTTTCCCTGGACAGATGACTTTAAATACTTTCCTGGTTCTGTGTTTGAGTGACATGTGTATAACAGGTTTGTCTGTAAGTCTATAAAGCAGGTTCCTCATTCCTGCTGAGTTTTGACACACCTGTTTTTAAAGTAAATACATTTACTGTAAATGTAAGGTGCATTTATTTAGAGATCAAACTAATGTGGCCAGTAGTAACTGTAGCAGAATTAATATTACCATAAACTAATCTGTTCGTCCAGTGAACATTCAGTGTAATTTCATATCAACTGATATGAAATGATATTTTCGTGGCCGTAGAAAATAGTTTCCTTACAGTACTAGCGCATTAGAGTAAAGGGACATTATCCACAAACAGTGACACAATCAGAAACTCATGTAATTTGTGCACAAAAGTTTTATTAACTAAATACTAACACATCTAGTCTAAACAAACAAACAAACATACAATCACACTGTACAAAAGTTCACTGCCCCACCATGTGTACATTTGCTGCTTTCCCTTTGGTGTCACTTGTACAGAGTTTGGGGGACTGGCTAGCGCTGCCCAAGCCGTCTCGCTGGCTCATTCAGAGAATCCCAATCATCTACGTGATTCAGTTGGGTTGAAATGTTTTTATCTGGATGCGGCACGGACGCGCCTGGAAAAAATGAGTGCATCGCACCGCTTGCGCTTCGCGACCGCGTCGCTTCCATTATGAACGCGCCTGCCGCGCGTCTTCATTTGAAATAACGAACTTGAGCGTGCAAAAAACGCGATATGTGAATGACCCCCAAGACAGCGCTCCTGACCTCGCTCACTTCCATCAAGAGGTTGGGGGACCAGAGGCATATTCGGTCAACGAAACATGACTAAAACTCGGACCGATTGATTCTCACGTGATCCTGAGACCCCAGCCTGGATATGTGCCCAAAGTTTCCATCACTTCCTTGCAGAACCAGTTGATGAACAGACCCAGTCATTGCGAGATTTTTTTTTTTTTACAATCTCTGATTGAGCTAGTTTCCTCCTGTGTGTTGGGTGCAAACTAGAGATGTCACGAGAACCGATACTACAGTACCAAGTCGGTATTTACATTTTAAAATCTTGCCGGTACTTGTTTTTCTTCAGTAGCGTAAGTACCGATGGTACCGAAGGTAGCGACTAGCGAGGCTGCAGCTCTTCCGGAACGGACGGGGGCAGGCAGAGCATACGCCTGGAGGTGTTTCAGTGGGTCCTTAAAGGGTAAAGAAGGAGGAAAAACGCCTACAAGCACACAGAAGAACTAAACGTGGAAGACGGCAACAATATATGAATAAGATTGTGTGAGATTTAAATGAGAGCGTGCAGCTCTGAAAGCATGAGCGCTGAGCATGATCATGCACACACAACTGTCTGACAGCTTTCGGCTTGTTCATTCGTTGTGTATCCGTCCACGGATTATCCTTATTAACATTATTGGCTAATATTATTGTTTTAAATATGAATAGTTTTAAAAAAATATTTTCGGCCTGCAAGTATGTCCGTGAATTTAAACTAATGCTTGCATTCAGAGTAGGCTATAGGTGTGTGTGTGCGTATGTGTGTGCACGAGTGCGTGTGTTTGTGTGTGTGTGTGTATTACTTCAAGGACAAGTGCCACTAATGTTGCGTATTTGTAATGTTAAATAAAGGAGTTCATGTTTAAGTATTATTGCTATTTTTTCCAGTGGTATCGACTTGGTATCGAGTTATATTTTCGGCCTGCAAGTATGTCCGTGAATTTAAACTAATGCTTGCATTCAGAGTAGGCTATAGGTGTGTGTGCGTATGTGTGTGCACGAGTGCGTGTGTTTGTGTGTGTGTGTGTATTATTTCAAGGACAAGTGCCACTAATGTTGCGTATTTGTAATGTTAAATAAAGGAGTTCATGTTTAAGTATTATTGCTATTTTTTCCAGTGGTATCGACTTGGTATCGAGTATCATGTACTTTTAGTGGTATTGGTACTGACTACTAGATTTTTGGTATTGTGACATCCCTAGTACAAACAGGTAAAAGGCAGCAGAACTGGCTTTGTGTCTCATTTGTGCCACCATTACGCACAAAGAGGGGGACGCAATCACCTTTTCTGCACTTCCAAAGAGTTCCCCAGGTGGTGAAACCTGTCTAGGCGCAGTACTTGAGTTGTATTCCTGTTAGATCAGCCCATGTACTGGGCTAGGTACCCATACATGAGATTCCCTTCAGGTAATCCTGTATGCATATTTTTCCATGGTGCAGTTTTCCTAATAGTAAACCTGTGTCTTTCCTTTGACAGAATTCCTTCTGTCCGACCCTGTGTTGGCAGTAGTTTGATCTCTACTCAGGTAGGAGCTACCGCAGTGGTTTATTCCACACGTAGCACTGTCCTGTCAGTTAGTCCATATGTGTATTCTCCATGTCACCTCACTGTAGGTAGAATGTGGCTCCGCAACATTCCCAACCTCTCACACAATTTTTGAAAAAAGATAATTCTGTGTGGTTTCCTCATGGGGACCAAAAATGTCCCCACGAGAAATATTCCCTCTAAGCTGCATGTGTGCTAGACTGCACAGAAGAAATAATGTGTTTTGCACATGCAAAAATTAGTTGGGAAAGCTATTTGATTGAACTCAGTAAATGCGAAATAATTACAATGCTCGGGCAAACCACTATAGAGTTGGTGTCGCTATAGAGTTAGAACTGGTGAATGCGGTTTACAGGTGTCATAGAAAGAGAATGACGTGCGCCAAATGAGTTGCTGCAGAAATCGAATACTATAATGGTTGTGGACGAAATAGCTTAACACAAGAGCCAATGCAAATGCAATGACGTGAAATAAAACGTCATCATGTTTTGAAGAAAAATGGTGGAAATGGCGGATGATGGGCACAGAATGATAACAAAACTCAGAGACATATACAGTTACACACAGGTGTATTGTGCAAACTGTACTTCATGGGGAGGTTTGGATAACTAGGTAACACTTTATAATAACTTTCATTAATAAATCATTAACACACATTACATAATGTTTAACTAATCATTACTTAATATATATTCACATATCTAGAAATATGAGATAATGTGCTTGTTAATGTTAACTAATGAACTTATTAAACATTACCAAATGAATCAATCTAAAGTGGAAACTATTCATCAATTGTAAATGTTTTAAACATTTACTAATCATTAGTACCTTTATGAGCAGTCATTTTGATGGCAAAAAGTGTCCAAAATGACCAAATTCACCCTATTTTCACATCTTTACAAATCATTTATTAATCATTCGTTCATGTTTTTGCAGCACCCAATCTAAAGTGGAGACTATTCATCATTTGTAAAGGTTTATAAATATTTACTAATCTTTTACTATCTTTATTGGCACTGGACTTTTAGCTACTGTAACAACATTTGTGTAAAGGGTGGTTAGTTAAGTTTAGCAAAATGTTTGGTAAAGACAAATACACACATTGTAATTTGGGTGCAAAACATGTTTTTATTGCCTCAACACTTAGTATACTATATACATATTAGTATACTATTGTGAATCACTAAACGGAATATTCCTTGAATCATACATCAACAGGAGGGGGGGGGGGAAACAACAACAAATTTTAAAGAAAATAATCTATCATTTATCAAAACAATGCAATATAAACAGATTGAATTGTGTTCCCTTATAGTAATCAAATTGACCCCTGTACACTTGTTGACCCCTTACCCAACCTTAAACCTACCCATACAAACAAACCCGTCCCTAACTTTACCCACATCACACCTCAACAGCAGCAGAAGTGTTGTGCATTAACAAAAGCTTTTAATCATTGTATAACAGCTGTTAAAATCATTTGTAGATTTTCAAGATGTGCATGATCATATGACATTTTTAAGCATTTTAATTGACATGAAATGTTAATTATTAGGTAAGGTTTAATACATTTATTAGTAAACATTAACAAGCACATTATTTCACATTTGACATCATCCGCATATAGCGAAATTTTATGTTCTTCTTCACCTATGTTAATACCTTTTATAACCACACTTTCTCTTATAAGCTGGGCAAGGGGTTCTATACTTATAGCAAATAGTAATGGGGATAGTACACAGCCTTGCCTACAACCTCGCTCCAAACCAAAAGCCCTTGATTTATGTCTGTTAACTCTAGTTGAGGCTTGTGGATTGGAGTACAAGGTATGTGTAGAGCAGTGTATTGTGTTGTCCACAAGATGTCGCTATGACACTGTTGTGTTAGGGCAGATTCAAGTATTTTTAGCGCTGTTTGAGCCTTTTGATGTACCGTAGTTTTGATAGGCGTGTAGTGCGCCATCTTTTCTTCAGTTCATGTTATCAACACTATAGGTAAGTCACGTTAACAGTAGTGGAAATTTCAATTTAAAATATCTTTGTTGTTATCGCTCTAAAGTTCTGTCTATTGAGATATTTTGTGTTCTAAACTGCTAAAGACCTAAATGCAGAGTAATATGGAGAGTTAAAATGTTTTTTGTTCAACATAGCACATACCGAACCATGACTCTAAAACCGTGATACAAACCGAACCGTGAGTAAGTTGAACCGTTCCACCCCTAGTATGTACCCATTTAAGAAAAGTAGGTCCAAAATTAAATTTCTGCATAGTATGAAACAGAAATTGCCAGGACACCCTATCAAATGCTTTATATGCATCTAATGATATAATCACAGCCTCTTCCCCTTTTATTAATGAATAATTAATTATATTTAATAATCTTCCTATTGTCACCACAGTATCTCCCTTTTATGAATCCAGTTTG